AGTTATTGGGGACTTCAGCATTGGTTCGTGCAACTGCCTGGGAGATATATGGCAGGTGATCTAAAACAATGATCCTGCTATGAACTCTATGTTCAATTTGCATGCAATTTGCATATGCTTTAAATTATCTTGAAAATTTCCCATAGAGCAGTCTTTTTGGAGCTGCCGCTGAATTTGCCCACCGCTACACTGATGTGCTGCTTGTATTCTACAATATGATTATAACTTTAGCTAGATATTCAAGGATATTAAAGAAGAGGTTATTGGCCTCAGTTGTCTACCACTGTAGTCATACCATTTTACATTGCCAAGTTTCCACAATCTTATGCAATTCAATTACATTATGGTGTTTGAGAAGTCAAGTTCCCCAAGGGTGAGAGTACTTGTTTGGTATTACACATTGGGACAACTAAGTTTCTTGAAATTGCAAATTGATGTGTAGACACTTGATGAGTAGCACTTGGTGAATTCCACAAAAGTTTGTAGCAGCTCGGTTAAGTCAGTATGTAGGCCTAATATCATACAGTAAATCAAGTCATTAAGAATCCATTGCCAGATGATAGGGAAATTTTGTACAAAGGGCACGTTTTGGGTGCATATTCATAAAATGGGCACAGTTTGGGGTGTTTATGGTAAACTTGACCCTTTGTTTGTGGAGGTGTCAGGCTCTGTTCACAATTCTCTGTGTGTGTCAATTGTACTTGTTTACCTGTTGAATACTCTCTTCTTGGTTTCCTTTCTCCTAGTTGGATGTCACTTTGTTGACCTTTCTGGGATCTGATCCTCCTCTTGCTTTTTGGTATTCTGCTACTAGATGCTTAACTTTTCTGCGACATCAACAGATATCGGCAAGTTTGAGTCTTTGCATGCATGCGGGTTCTATCATGATATACCTTTTCTTTCAATAATCTGTTTTGACTTGGAATCCAATCTTATGCTATTGAAATCCAGATTGATTGTCATTTGTGATCTCAGTAGACTTGAATCTCCTGTTTTGGTTGATTAATTTCTCTCTTTGGATCTTGTTTCTTTCAGTGCCTCTCTTGCTCGAATAAATACCCTGGTTTTTGCAGCATGCTTTGCTGACTCATCGAGGTAAGCCGCAAAACTGTATGCCAAAAATGTCGCTGTTCCTGTTTCATTTATCATATATTATTGCATGAATCAGTTATTCAACTGCTGTATTAAACTTGCAGTTCAGCTGATGCTGCCTTAGCTTATGCCAAGCTCATCCAACATTTGGCTGTTTTTAAAGGACACAAAGGTCAGTTCTTTGAGTGTTTATAAATTAAACTTGCAGCATGCAGTAGGATGCAGTTCTCATGAACATGTTTTATTTCTTCTCTGGTTTGTGAAGTCTAATCTTTCTTTGCTTATCGGACTATCACCAATTTGTTATCAGTTGCTAAATTAATGGTATTCTTCTTCCTCATAAATCAAATTGAAATGAAATTTGCACTCAAGTAAAAGAGACAGTATTGAGATCGGTTTATGGTTTTTCTAATTCTAGTTTCTACACTCCTAAGGTTTCTAGTGATTGTCCAGTGCTAAAACGTCAAATTCTGAAAAAAGAAAAGTCAAATTCTGGTCTAGCCTATATACAAGGAAAGGGGGAAAGCAGATTTAGGACAAGTGTATTTTCACATTGGACAAGTGAAATGATGCTAAAGGCTTTACTTTGGGTAAGCAACTAGCAAGAGATATGAAAGATATATCCTATATGAAACCTTTCAAAACTAATCAGGAAAATATGACCTGAAAGCTCCAGGGTTCATTAGTGTTTGACAGTTCACTTCTCCCTTTACCCAAATCCTGTTCTTGCCGTGTTTGAGGATCTCATTTGTCCTGCATTCCTACATGTTAAAACACTGAGTTTGTTTGGATAGGAAGATTTGCAAAAAAAAAAAATTCAAATTTTATTTTACTTACATCATAAACACAATTTCCAACCACCTTTTTACCTCACATACATCGCATCACAAAAAGTGTTACAGTATTTCAAATAAATATTTCAGATAACCTCCTATCCAAACAAACTCACTATATCAATATTTGCTAGGCAGTTGCCTGATCGGGAACTGAAACAAATGTACTAACATGCTTGACAAAAATAGGACTTAAAAAATGATAGATTGATCACCGCCTTAAATATTCATTATCAGCATAGTCTATTATGAATGAGGACATTTCTTTTGGATGCACCTTCTTTTGTCCTTTAGTTTTTCTGCAATTAAGTAGGAATTCCTAATGCTATAGAGTATATAGGGCTTTTATCATGTTTTAATTAGCAACAACTGACATATGAGCCACTTTTATGACGGTTTTTACATCTCTGCTTACTTGAGTGAAGTGTCGCCTGTCCTCTCATCAATAGGAGCATAAGGATTTGCTTGAATGACATCATTATAATATTCTAGAGTAGGCATGGTGTAGAAAGGTAAGCTACACAGAGGATGCATTTGGTAAGATTACTGTATCTGTAAGATGTATATTTTTAGGCAATTTTTAAGGTGGAGAAGTCTTAATTTACTAAAACAGGAATTATACATGAATTTGGTTTCCAAAACATTTTAGAAGTGCCAGTTTTCTGAATTTTAGATGTGCCAGTCTTCTGAATGTCTAAGTATTGGCATGCCAATCTGAAGGGGGGGAAGGGGAAAAAAAAGAAATCACCAACAAATTAACAAAAAGCAACAGTTAAAGCACCACAAATGTGGGATGAGAAATCAAGTACCTAGGCAATGTAAAATACACGAATTTTCAGTTTAAACTGTATAATGTTGCTTCTGCAACTTAGTTTAATCTTGTTTAGAATTGGGTAGATTCAGATGTACCCAATATCATTTGGTTTTCACATGATCCCTCATTTACCGTCCATATTATGCACCTGGTGGTGTTCGAATTTGTGGACACCTATCCTATACTACACCAACTTCTTTGCTTTTCAGTTCTGAATATGTTGTTGTTCTTGGTAATATTGCTGAAATAAATTGGTAAAAAGAGTTTTTGAATTCATATTCACTGTCCCCAAGACCCAGCTTAGCTGATAAGGACCATTAGCCAGGTGACCGTGAGGTTCCTGGTTCAACTCTCAAGACCTCCCCTTTCCCCATTGTAAGGCTTGAAGTCTTTCTCGAATGGAAAAAAGGAAAATTCATATTCACCAGGGAAAAAAAACGTTCACTAAAACAGATGAAATGCAATATAAGCTCAGTTTGGATTGATAGTTTTTCCAAAAAACTTGTTTCTTTCCAACAAAATTTATGGTAATCTCCCAAAAAACACCCCAAAAAACACACTACCACCCTTCTCCTCCAACACCCCCCCCACCACCTCTCACTTCCTCCACTCTGCCACCTCCCCCGACCACCCTCCCTTCTGCATCCTTCCCTCGACTACCTTGCAACTTCTCCCCTCCACTACCCCAGCACCCTCTGAACCCCTTCATCCTTACAAGGATTTTTAAAGTTGAGAAGTACCAAAGAGAGATTAGATTTAGGTGAAGACAAACTCATTAAGAAAAAGAACATATTTCAGAACTCATTCCCGATGCTGGATATCAAAAGTTGAGTATGGTTTTAGAATCAACTCAATAAGATGGTTATTTCATGATGGAGAGTTTTTTAGAAGTAATAAGCAACAAATAAGAGGATAATAAGTAGGAGGAAGATTTATGAATTTAGGAATTATCCTGTGTTGTCACTGAATGGAATGTGAGAATGTTGATGCAGGCAGGAAAAGAGTTGGGGGAGGGGGGCCGGGTAACCAGCAAGGACCAAGATTGTTTGATTATACAAATATTCGAAAACCATTAACCACGCCAAACATACCAGGGAAAAAAATCCAACTTCGCAACATCAGATTCCACTTATTGTGTAGACACAAAATGCAATATTCTCTAGTGAAAGAGACCTTGTTGTTGGCAAAAAGGTTTTGACATTTGACATGTATAAGCTTTTGTTGAATGACAACGCCTTCTGCTTCTCAAACCAGAAATAATCTGGAGCTTTCAGGACTGAATTTCAGTCAGCCTTGTTAGGAGAATATTAGTATTCTTGTAGATAATATATTAGTAAGGGTATTCTTGTAAATAGTCCGTTAGGTTTGTACTCCTATAAATATTAGTTGGTCACTCATAATACAGTGACTAGATGTTTTCCTCCCAAGATACCTGTTTACATGGTATCAGAGCAAGAGTCCTAGGGTTTAGGTTAAACATCTAGCAAAAGTACTGTTCATGCCGCACTGTTCATGCGCACTGTTCATCGCGGCACTGTTCACGCCGGCACTGTTCACGCGTACTGTTCACGCGTCTCGAGTTTTGACCCTTTCTTGGGTTTGAAGTGCTATTCGCTATGGCTGAAAGTTTATCAAAAGTATTGTGACGTCCACTAATATTATGCCAATGGTGATGCCTCAAATCACAAATTGGAAGTTGAATGATACCAATTATCAACAGTGGTCAAAAGCTGTTAAGATTTATCTGACAGGCTTAGGAAAGCAACGTTATCTCACAGATGACTCTCCTACGAGGATAGCAAGAAACTAATGTGGATTCAAGAGGATGCCCAAATTCTTGGAGCAATATGGAATTCTATGAAGCACGAATTGCTTACATGTGTTCTCATTGTGAGACAACAAAAGAAGTTTGGGATTATGTCCGGTTAATATTGCAGTAATCTCTCACGGATGTTTGATATTTCTTTGGAGTATTTTCAGTTGCAACAAGATAACAAGACAGTAACTGAATACTTTGCTGATCTTAAGCGAGTCTCAGAGGAATTAAATGCTGTAATGCCTCTCTCAAGTGATATCAAGGTTATGCAGAGGCAAAGAGAACAAATGCTTGTGCTCAAATTCCTGGCTGGTCTCAAGCCAGAATTTGAACCAATCAAATCTCAAATTTTAGCAGGTGAACAATTACCATCCTTTGCAGAGGCGTATGCTCGGGTCTTACGTTCTGCATCTAAGGACAATGCACAGGGTGATGGTGCTTAATTAATGACAAATCTGCTTTAATTGCTAACAATAATCGGACAGAGCAACTTAATTTTGGACGTGGCTCTCGTGGAGGAAGAAGTAGAGGAGGTTGTGGGGGTCGTGGAGGTCGAGGCACCCGTGAGTGCAATCATTGTGGTTTAAAGAATCACACTCGTGATACTTGTTGGGATTTAAATGGAAAACCACCTCGGTTTGTTAATACGGTTACCACTGATCAAACTGAATCAAGTTCTTTAGCACAAGGGTCTCAGAAGACTGTTACCATATCTGAGGAAGATTATATCAAATTTCTGCAGTACCAAACTGCAAATCACGCATCTCTTCCCTCTACTTCTGTAGCACAAAAAGGTAATGCTATGGCTTGTCTCTCCACATCATCTAATTTTGACTCATGGATCATTGATTCCGGAGCTACTGATCATATGTCAGGTACCTCTAGAAATTTTTCTAATTTTCAAGAGTCTACTTCCTTCCCTCATGTTACTTTAGCTGATGGATCTACAACTAAAGTTAAAGGACTAGGCACTGTAGAAATTAACTCATCTCTTCCGCTGCCTTCTGTTCTTTACGTTCCCAGTTTGCCTTTTAATCTAATGTCCGTTAGTAAGCTTACTAAATCTCTACAGTGTTCAGTTATTTTTTCTCCTGATTTTGTTGTCATTCAGGATTTGAAGACAAAGAGGACGATTGGTGGAGGACATGAGCATAATGGTCTTTACTTTCTCAACTCTAATGGTCCGATTGCGTGCCCTGCTACTGTTTCTCCTCTTGAAATTCACTGTCGTTTGGGTCATCCGTCTCTACAAAATTTGAAGAAGTTGGTCCCTACCTTGAGTCAGTTGTCTTCATTAGAATGTGAGTCTTGTCAATTAGGAAAGCATCATCGTGTTTCTTTTGTCCCTAGGGTCAATAAACGGGTTTCGGAACCCTTTTTGTTAGTTCATTCTGATGTTTGGGGTCCTAGTCGAGTAACTTCAAAGTTAGGTTTTAAATATTTTGTAATCTTTGTTGATGATTTTTCCAGAGTTACATGGCTTTATTTAATGAAAGATCGTTCAGAATTATATTCCATTTTTTGTGCATTTGTTACAGAAATAAAGACTCAATTTGGTGTGCCTGTACGTATACTTCGCAGTGATAATGCGAAAGAATATTTTTCCACTCCTTTTGATACCTTTATGACTAAGTCCGGTATTCTTCATCAGTCCTCTTGTCCTCACACTCCACAACAGAATGGAGTTGCTGAAAGAAAAATTGGACATTTAATCGAAGTTGCTCGGACACTTTTGTTGCACATGAATGTACCCAAACAATTTTGGAGTGATGCAGTTTTAACTGCATGTTATTTAATTAATCGCATGCCATCCGATATTCTTGGAGGCCAACTACCTCACTCCATTCTTTTTCCTCAGGACCCTATATTTAAATTACCTCCTCGTATTTTTGGTTGTGTGTGTTTTGTTCATCAGCTTGCTCCGGGGTGGATAAATTAGATTCTCGTGCCATTAAGTGTATTTTCTTAGGATACGCACGAGCGCAAAAGGGGTATAGATGTTACAGTCCAGTTTTAAATCGTTTTTTCACTTGTGCTGATGTTACTTTCTTTGAATCCACTCCTTATTTTATGAAGCAAGGTATGTCTTGTGAGTTAGACCAGTGTTCCTCTTTTTCTCCTCCTGTTTTACCAGTCCCTTCATCTTTATTACCTGAGTTATCGGGTTCACCAGATTCCACCACTCGATTATCTCATCCTAATCTTCAAGTTTATTCTCGTCGTTCCATGGTTGAGAAAGCTCCTGATATGCTACGCACTTCACCAATTAACTCTCAATCTTCAGATCCAGGTATGACGCCCTCTTGTGAGTCAGATCTTCCTATTGCTTTACGTAAAGGTAAGAGACATTGTACTTCTCATCCTATTTCTAATTTTGTCTCTTATTCTCGTCTCTCTCTGTCATATTCTTCTTTTGTTGCATCTCTTGATTCGGTATCCATTCCTAAGTCTATTACCCATGCTCTCAATGATCCTGGTTGGAGGTTAGCTATGCAGGAAGAGATGCTTGCTTTGGAGAAAAATGGTACTTGGGATCTTGTCCCTCGTCCTTCAGGTAAGCCTGTTGTTGGTTGTAAATGGGTGTACACTATAAAGGTGCAGCCTAATGGTTCTATTGATAGATTGAAGGCTCGTCTGGTAGCTCGAGGATTTACTCAGGTGTATGGAGTAGACTACTTAGAAACATTTTCTCCTGTTGCAAAGATTACCTCGGTTCGCCTTCTTATCTCTTTGGCAGCAACTTACAATTGGCCATTGCATCAGTTGGATGTGAAAAATGCATTTCTGCATGGAGATTTGGAAGAAGAGGTATATATGGAACAACCTCCTGGATTTGTTGTTCAGGGGGAGAATTCGCAGTTGGTTTGTTGTTTGAAAAAATCCTTATATGGATTGAAACAGTCTCCAAGGGCTTGGTTTGGCCGGTTTAGTAGTGTGGTCATGGAGTTCGGTCTGACGAGATGTGGAGTAGACCACTCTGTATTTTATGGGCATTCTAATGCTGGTAAAATTTTATTAGTTGTTTATGTGGATGATATTGTGATTACAGGTGATGATGTTGTGGGGATCCAGAAACTTAAATCCAATCTGCAGGCAAACTTTCAGACAAAGGATTTAGGTCATTTACAGTATTTTCTGGGTATTGAGGTAGCTCGGTCTAAATATGGGATTTATTTATGTCAAAGGAAATATGTACTCGATATGTTGAGTGAAGTTGGGATGTTAGGTTGCCGACCTGTGGATACTCCTATGGATCCCAATGTGAAATTAGCAAGAGATCAAGGAGCATTACTTGATGATCCTAAGCAATATCGAAAACTTGTGGGTAAGTTAAATTATCTCACTGTAACGAGACCTGACATTTCATTTGCAGTGAGTGTTGTGAGTCAATTTCTTGATACTCCTCGTACTAGTCATTGGGATGCTGTTATACGAATTCTCAGGTATCTTAAGGGTGCTCCTGGAAAAGGGTTGCTATATCAAAATCATGGACACACTGATATTGAAGGATATAGTGATGCAGATTGGGCCGGTTCTGCCTCAGATCGAAGATCGACCACAGGATATTGTGTGTTTGTTGGTGGTAATTTAGTGTCGTGGAAGAGTAAGAAGCAAACAGTTGTCTCCAGATCAAGTGCAGAATCTGAATACCGTGCTATGGCTCACACTGTGTGTGAGTTGGTTTGGTTGAAAAGCATGTTAGTTGAAATTGGGTTTGAGTATAAACAGCCTATGAATTTAGTGTGTGATAATCAGGCGGCTGTCCATATTGCGTCTAATCCAGTGTTTCATGAAAGGACAAAACATATTGAAGTTGATTGTCATTTCATTCGAGAGAAATTACTTGATGGAATCATCAAGACATCTCATGTACCGTCTGCAGATCAATTGGCTGATTTGTTTACCAAGAGTTTAGGGGGCTCTAGGGTGAAATACCTTTGTAACAAGTTGGGTGCTTATGATATATATGCTCCAACTTGAGGGGGAGTGTTAGGAGAATATTAGTATTCTTGTAGATAATATATTAGTAAGGGTATTCTTGTAAACAGTCCGTTAGGTTTGTACTCCTATAAATATTAGTTGGTCACTCATAATACGGTGACTAGATGTTTTCCTCCCAAGATACCTGTTTACAAGCCTGTTTGATAAGTACTTCCCTCTGAAGTCTTTTTCAGTTAGCCTGTTTGATAAATACTTCCCCTCTAAGTCTTCTTTCAGTTAGCCTGTTTGATAAATACTTCCCCTCTTATCACTCACTGACTTATCCAGGAAAAATAAAAGAAATGGAGAAAAGACAGAATTTCCTTTTCTAATACAAGCATGAATGTGCCTAATGCAACTTGTCGAGCATATTTGTGGCTTTTGCTGTCATATAATTATATAAGTTTCCTATTACTGCCTGCAGAAGCTTTTGCTGCTCTTAAAATAGCGGAAGAGAAGTTCTTATGTGTTTCAAAGTCAAGAGTCCACCTTGTAAAACTGCAGCTACTTCATGAACGTGCCCTGCATAGGTAAGGCTGTTGTCTGCTATGACAGTATTTTCAAAATTAGTCATGGAGTCACGACAAACATTATGTTCTTGATTTTCTATGATATATTATCTCTGGTTATCTTGCAGAGGGGATTTGAAGTTCGCTCAGCGAATATGCAATGAATTTGGAGCTTTAGCTTCTTCTGTAAGTGGTGTGGACATGGAGCTGAAGACTGAAGCAAGTCTACGACATGCTCGAACACTGCTTGCAGCAAACCAGTTCAACCAGGTTAATTATGTTCGATCACTGACTACCATCACTACCTTTTATTCCTTTTTTTTTCTCTATTCTTTTTTTTTTGGGGGTCTTTAGCTGTAATCAACAAAAAGATCCAAATTTGGTGATGGAATACCATTATTCATCCTGGATGATGTATTCATGATCTAACTACCAAAGATCTGATAATTTACAGAATCTGCCATGCCAGCTAGGTCATCACCTTGTCTTCTTTGAGTATGAAAGAAAAATGAGCTGTTTAAAATGAATTTCTGGGAGCTTCAATTTCACTAAGTATATTCAATCCATGGTTGAAGAGTACATAGTTTCTTCTCTGAAACTACTCAAGTTTAGGATCAATTTGAACCAACAAATTTTAAACAGTGAATCCATAGCTATCTGATATTTAATAGCCATCTTTTTGTGTAGAACTTTTTGGACTTTTTTATGTCAGCTGGAACTGTGTTAATGAGCTCTGCCAAAGTCATCTTTTATGATAAAGTCAAATGCTAATTTGTCTGCAAACAGAAAGATCACAATTTATGCAAGCACTGTTAAAGGATTATCAATTCACTTCCAATTTTGACTGTCTCGATAGAAGTAGCAGCATCAGGAGACCGAGACCCAATAACATATCTTCTTTGATTTGTTCTTGTTTCAAAAAGGTTGCAAGAATGCTTCTTCACTACTGTATTGACCAATTGATCAACTAGTGGTTGGGCCTTTACTCGTTCCTGGACCAAACTAAATCAATGTAGTCTTCAGAAGATATTTCTAATTTTGCCAGCGATCTCATTTCTCCTCAGGTGTATACATGGCCATTTGATAATATGAAGCCAGCACGAAAGAAAATCTTCTTCCATTCAACTCAAGAATTCTGTTCATCTTTGGATGCTAAATTGACAAGATGAAGGATATAGGTTTGATTAGTTTTGGTTTGCCACAAATGCACGATCATTTTGTATGGAAGAACAAGTTTTGTCATATAGAGAAGCTTAGCTTTCAGATTTGGTGTTTAGATCTGTGAGAGTCCTGATCAAAGAACTTTAGGCAAATGTTTTCTTGCTGGTGTTTGGGGCTGTGGTCTAGATATGTCCTCTAATAAACTTTAGTAAGCAGTAGTGCAAGATTTTTTCTGGTGGCATATCAGGATTACTATAAGCTTGCGAAGGAATATTTTCTGCAGTATTTCATATTTCAGTCCATGGTGCTGCCAAGGATGAAGACTTGTTTCTGCGAAATAAAACTGACAGCACCTGACTAATTAGTTTCAGAATCTCTACTATTTTAGTTCATGTTCTTATCTGATTCTCTTTGCTATGGATTGTCACCATTGCCCTTCCAGAGTCTTGTGCTACAGTTAATTCTGTGGAGATTGAAGCATCTTCCCTGATGCATAGTGCAAATCACTCTGGTTCTATTGTTCATCATTGATGATTCAAATGCATGTTTAATAAAGGTTGTCTTCTTTCTTGTTTCATTTGGTACCAAGTCTGATGCAAAAGGTTGTTTCAGGCTGCAGCTGTCACAAACTCCCTCTTCTGTATGTGTTACAAATACAATATGCAGGTTGAGAATGCCACTGTTCTTCTTTTGCTTGCTGAGATACACAAGGTACTAGATTTTAGTTTTGCTGGGATTAAATTTATTGGCTTTTTTTTCTGTCATTTTTTATGATTTCCACCATTCAGGTGCTTTTAGAACTGTTTGCTTCCTAATCCTTTGACGATATTTGCTATGATATTTGGATGTTATACAAGCCTGTATTTTGGTACTTGCTTGTATATGCCATTGTTCAAACTGTTAATATCAAGTGTTCATAGTTCGCATGTGTCTATTTATAATGTGCTTTGTTGTTGATAGTTATTACGTTTCTACTAATTGCATCTCTGTTTTCTTTATCACGGCCAAGATTTTTAATCTGATATGCCTCCTCTATTCTCACTTATAGAGATCAGGAAATGCTGCTCTCGGAATTCCTTATGCTTTGGCTAGTCTTTCATTTTGCCAGTCTTTTAACTTGGATCTTCTTAAAGCCTCTGCAACACTGACACTTGCTGACCTATGGCTTTCACTGGGATCAAATCATGCAAAAAGGGCTTTAGCCCTCTTGCATAGTGCTTTCCCTATGATTCTTGGTCATGGCGGTCTGGAGCTTTCTGCTCGAGCCTATATAACAGAGACAAAGTGCTATCTGGCAGACCCAAGCTTTTCAGGTACTTTCTTCTTTGAGATCTCTAGAATCAAGAGAGTTTAATCAGAAAAAAAAAAAGTTAGTACAAAAATATTTTGAATCTAAATGGAGCATCAGATTGTTGGTGCAATGCTATTGCGAAAACATAAGTTATTACAGGGCTGTCATTTGATTTTTGCTGTGTTTTATGGATTTTTGTAGCAGAGAAAAATTTCCTGATTTCATGGTTCATTGGCAGTGGAGTGGAATGTCATAGATTTATACAAAGTAACTAGTTTGTGCTTCATTGCTGTGTTGTCTTGAACCTTGGGCAGCCATTTATAATATGAGGTGGTTTTTTTTTCGTTGGAGAGAAGGGGGGGGGGGGGAAGAAACAGGCTTTGGGGTAGATAACTGAAGGAAACATCTTTAAAATTCCATAGTTGACTACAGTGACCTAGCAATTCCAAAAAATGTGGCCAATGACATTAATTTCTTATCTTTTAATCTATATTTTTTGGCCTTTAGCATGTGCTTATCAATGGCATTACATGTGCAGTCTCAGAAGATCCAGAGGCAGTGCTAGAACCTTTAAAGCGAGCTTCTGAAGCGCTTGAACTTTTGGAGGTTAGCTCATTATCTTTTCAAGATTGAAAGGTCAATTTGCTTATGTTGGTGTGAATTGAGTGTCTGTCCTGCACAAATGGAACGTTTCTCTCTTCTTTCCTGTAGCATAGAGCAGTCTGTCTTATTCATGCTTCGTTGATCAAGGTGCTAACTTTTTTTCATTCAGCCCACATTCTGGATCTGTTCCATATAACTGGTTTGTTTGACTGTGTACCTCTTCCCTTAATTTTGGTTAGTATTTTGTCCTTCGTGAACTACATTTCATAACTTGAATCATCCATACATTATTATCTCAATTGTAGGACCCAAAATATTCAAACTGATGAAATCCATCCTAGGAAAACTATTTCTTACACTTAAGAAGAAATTTTGAATGATTCCCTTTTTCTTTCTTGGTTGTACTCCTTAATTCCTTGTTGACTGTAATACATGAGTTTTTTCTGAGTAAACATAGCATAAGACCTACCTTTTGCCATAGTAAAAGCAGAAGACCTCCTCTTGCCAATTGTAAACAGCTGATCTACCCCGTGACAGTAATTTTGCATGAGAGGCTGGATATTTTTGTTCTGAAAATCTGGGGCCTTCTTTTGTTCCAATTGCAATTCTCTTTTATCGCAAGTCAAGCCTGTGATCAACCTGCAATCTGTTGCAGGACTTCTTGTTCTATTTGATCAAGTTTGATTTTTGTATGTAAAAGTACATTGAACTTGGGACTGGCCTGTTGTCGGCTTGAGTTAAGCATGGCACTCAACGCCAAAAGCCTGACCAAAGCTGGATACTCCATCGTATCTATTACCATGTGCTGCATAACTAAGTTTCTGAATACTCCCTTTTTTGTTTTATACAAGTATTGTTCAAATGGTTATCATTGACCCCGTATTTGAAGCCAATAATATTATTAT